TCTCAGCCTAGCATTTGAGTGGGTAGCCTGAGGTCTTCACAGCTGAGCTGAAGAACTCTGCTGAACCAGCAGAAAACTCAAGGGGTATAAAATTTGATGATTTCTGGACAACTCCAATCTTTATGATGATAGAGAATATTAAGGACAAAAATTGGTGGATTCCCCTGGATTTCTTATTTCTCCCATCAAACATTACCGCACAGTGGAAAAAACACCCACTGAATATTGTCTTTGTTGTGGTGTGAAACTGAGACGAGGAGGAAGCAATCACTAGATTTTGACAGCTAAACTAGTTGATTTAGCTCAGTCAAATTTTCATATAGGTTTTGTGTAGGTGCCTTAAATCAGAGACTTCTTTATTATTCCCATTTTTTTAACCTTATTTCTCTTTAAACATTATTTAATCTTAGAAGATTAAATTTATACATAATTTATATGTCCACCCATCTCATAGATATGACTCTGGGTAGTTAACAAAAATAACAACAAAATAAACAGTAAAAACACCAAAATTTAAAAAACAACATTAATAGCACGAGGACATTTATAGCAGTCCACATTCAAATCAGCCATGAAGCGAATTCACCCATACTGTCGGGGCCCCAGGCTAGATGGCAAAGCCAAGCTTGTTAAGGTCTGATAAAAGACCAGCAGGGTCAGGGCAAGTCTAACCTCAGAGGGGAAAATACTCCAGAAGATGGGCACAATGGCACAAATGTCTCTGTTTCTGGGTCAGATGAAATTCTCCTGTGGGATGGAACCCGGAGCGTGTTACTCCTTTTGGATCTAACAAGGTGGGTAGACACCAGTGGAGAGAGTAAGTAATTCAGCCCCAAGTTATGAAGAGCTTTCAAGATTGCCGCCAGCATCTTGAATTCACCCAGAAGCATACCAGTAGCTAAAGAAGCTCCTGAAGCAATTGTGTCTCGGCTGCCAAACATCCACAACTGTCTGTGCCATTGCAATTTGTGGCAGATTACGCTTCGACATACTTTTCATGGGCAGCCCCATGTAGAGCATGCGGCAGTAACCCAATCAAGAGGTGACTAAGGCATGAGTTACTGTGAGCTGGGCCTCTTAGTCCAGGAATGGACACAACTCGTACACAATACAAAACTATGCAAAGGCCCTTGTGGATACAGCTACCATCTACTCTAAACAGCACCTGCTATCCAAGAACTGACCAGGTCCATTTCAGTTTCATTGTTTGAGATCAGGCAAAATTGACCACTTGCTGGGACTTACCTTCTTGGATAACTCTCCATGTAGCAAAGAACTCATTTTCTAAGGGTGTTTGACTCACAACTCGGTAACGGCTGTCTAAGCGAGACACAGTTGGCCGCACTGAATTATGTCCAAAACGGAAACCATTGGTAAAGACGTTAGAAATTCGGGGATCCACAGAGTCATTGTAGCCTCTGTAGGAACGCAGAGCCCTAGAATCCCCCAGTAGGGCAGGTATATATTCTGTATAGGTGATTTTCTAGAGCAAAAGGACAAAAAGAAGAGTCAACCTATTGGAAGAAAGCAATTAGTTAGTAATGATTATCACTAATACTACATTGAATATTAGAAGCAGAAGACCAGTCTTCCTCAACGTGATGCTATGAGGTTTGTTCTTAAATATGTGTGTTTTGTATTACTAATTTGGCTTCTACAACTTTTGCAGGCTTACAAGACAGAATACAGATAGTCCTCGACTTACATCTGTTTGTTAGTGACTCTTCAAAGTTACAAGGCACTGAAAAAAGTGACTATGACTGTTTTAACACTTATGACTGTTGCAGCATCCCCAGAGTTATGTGATCAAAATTCAAACGCCTGGCAGCTAATTTATATTTATGATGGTTACAGCGTCCTGGGCTCATGTGATGACCTTTTTCTACCTTTTGATAAGCAAAGTCAGTGAGGAAGGCAGATTCTCTTCACAATCGTGTTACTAACTTAACAACTGCAGTGATTCACTTAACACATTTGGCAGGAAAGGTCATAAAATGGGGCAAAGTCACTTAACGAATGTCTTGCTGAGCAACAGAAATTTTGGGCTGCATTGAGGTCGTAAGTTGAGGACGACCTGTACTTTAAACTCAGCACACAGATATTATGTCAGCAGATATTTAAGACCCCTTTTCTAAATCCTGGTGCTGGCCTCACTGAGGGAGGAATTATTACCAGACCTAAACTGGTATTAACCAGCTTTTTGAAATTGCACAACACATGAACCTTGTTTCACACATGTTGCCTTATAAGAATGCCAAAACCAAGTTCCCAGTGATGTGCACCTTCTGTAGGGATGCACTACAACCCTCAATGGTCAAATCCTGGCAAGTCAAGCTGCCACTGAATGGGGAAAGCCATTCCTAGGAGAGAGACGTTAGCTGGGAAAGTCTTATTCGGACCCACAAGGAGTGGTCACCTGATCAGATTCAGATGCTTGGCAACCAGCATGTATTTACGGTAATTGCAGCATCTCAGGATCATGTGATCACCATTTGCAACCTTCCCCACCAGCTTCTGACACGCAAAGTCAATGGGGGAAGTCAACATTTGCTTAACGATCGTGTGAGTCACTTAACAACTGCAGTGATTCACTTAACAATGGTAGCAGAAAAAGGTCGTAAAATCAGGTGCTAGTCACTTAACCACCCTGCTTAGCAACAGATATTCTGATTCTAACTGTGGTTTTAAGTCGAGAACTACCTGTAACTAAATAAATACATTTAGATGGCAAGTGTCATGCTCAGGCCACTCAGTGTTACACCCTAATGGTCTTACTCTATAGGGCTGGTTACTCTGGGCTTCAAAGAGGGGTTAAGCCACTTAAAACAGAATTGTTCCTTCATTTTGTGCAAAATGGTCATGGAACTATTCATCCCACACCTGCATCATGGCTCCCAAGATTTTCCGGGATTCCTGATAGAGTTCTTCTCCACTCATTTGTGGGTTCANAGGCATGAAGCCAGATGGGTCACTTTGGACCAGCCAGTCTCTCTCAGCCCTTGCAAATCACTAGCAATGCTGAACCATTCTTGAAATTATTGACCAAGAACCCCCTTTGTATACTGTAAAACCATTCAGGTTTCAGGGAATGCCCTGCTAAACAGGAAAGTCCCTAGCTGTTCTGTAAAAATCTACATTGAAGAGTTTAATCTCAGGTCCATTGGAAGTCCATTCTGAAGCTCTGGTGCTATCATCATAGTGGCTTGCTGACAGATCCACATCCAAATAACTTCTCTCACAGTCAGCAAGCCCTCTTTCATGCTTGGGCAGAAGGCACCACAGCTACTTAGAAGGTGCAAAGCATAGAGCTTCATCTGCAGATCTACAGGTGGCCAAGTACCTCTCTCAAAGGCCTTGCACAACCCTGTCAGATATCTAAACTCTTCATACAAGAGCACCCTCTCCCAGTTTTTTCCAAAAGTTTCCTTTCACCAGAGATAAAGGAAATTGGGAAGTGAAAACTCTTAAATGAGTTACAGCAGTTCTCCAAGTGGCAGCAGTCTTCAGACCAGCCTTTAACAGAATAACAGAGTTGGAAGGGACCTTGGAGGTCTTCTAGTTCAACCCTCTGCTCAGACAGGAAACCCTATACCATTTCAGACAAATGGTTGTCCAATCTCTTAAAAACCTCCAGTGATGGAGCACCCTCTGGAGGCAACTGTTCCAGTAATTAATTGTTCTAACTGTCAGGAAATTTCTACTTAATTCTAGGTTGGTTCTGTCCTTGATTATTTTCCATCCATTGCTTCTTCTCTGCATTCAGGTTCTTTGGAGATTAGGTTGACCCCCCCTCTTCCTTGTGGCAGCCCCTTAGATATTGGAACACTGCTATTATGTCACCCCTACTCTTTCTTTTAATTAAACTAGACATACTCAATTCGTGCATCCATTCTTCATATGTTTTAGCTTCCAGTCCTCTAATCATCTTTGTTGCAACTATTCCTTTTTTGTCTTCCTATTATCCCTTTCACTTGATGTGACTTCAGTTTGCAAGAGCAGCCTGGAAGAAATGATGCACCTTTCAAATAACTTACCTGCCAAAAAACAGGGGATGTTGAGGGTTTTATTTGTTAGCCTGCAATTTTCCAGAAAGCCTTCAGGAACACCAAAGGGGAGATAGGCAAGGCCTCGATCGTTGAATTTGTTATTCACAGCTAGCAATCCTAGGTTGTTTGTGAAATTTCTTAGCTGCATTGCCCACTTGTCTTCACTGGCATATACCATACTGGCATCAACAAAGGCTGTGATTGCATTGATCTGGTTGCGAATGGCATAGCCACCGTTGCACGCAGGAGCAGCCCGGGTAAAGGGGATGCACTTAAACTGCTTTTTTGAAGGATCATTGGGTGGGATCTAGAGCAAAAATATGAAGACAGGTAGGCATCATTATACTCATGCTTTCCTCCTTTCTCGCATTAATATTTAAAAGGAACATATGACGAAATGGAGCCATGCTTGGAAGATGTATAAATATGATCCAATTCTGGAATGAGTTAGTTTTGGTGATGGGTTTTGGACTTTAACTCATATCAGTCTGAGTAATCATAGCCACGTAAGTGAGCATCTGAAGACCTTCAAGTTAGATCAAGAGATTAGATCTAGTAAGCATGGTAGCTCAGCAATGCTGTCTTTTTAATATTTATTTATTAAGAAATTTGTATGGCTGCCCAACTCATTTACATTGGACTCCAGATGACTTATAAAGATAAACTCCTAGTACAAAAACCTATAAACACCCATGTACCTAATGACAAAAATCAGACCAGCCTCTTGGTGGGCTCCGTATCACTATGGGGTCCCCAGATCCACTGGCAGAACTATATTTTCTGTCTCTTCACTGGCATATGCTTAGATTAGACACCAAGGAAGTAGACAGGGAGATTGAAATAAAGCTGGAAAAGCAGAACTCGGAAGCACTGGGAAGATAAAGAACAGAGGCTGTCAAATTTAAGTGGTTGTCCCAAAGGTGCTTTTTCAAGAGGCAACTGGATTTTCTTCGTTTTTCCTTGAAGACATTTCGCTTTTCATCCAAGAAGCTTCTTCAGTTCCAACTGAATGATGGAGAATGGAACTATTTATATTCCTTGCAGTCATCTGGTTGTTGGCACACCCTCTGAGAGTTGTTGAGGTCACCTGGAGGTTTATCAGCCAGAACTGAAGAAGCTTCTTGGATGAAAAGGAAGGAAAAACAAAGAAAGTCCAGTTGCCTCTTGAAAAAGCACCTTTGGGACACTCATCCTGAGTGTCTCTCGATAGCTGCTAATCCATGCAGAAGTAGATACAGAATTTCTCATACCTGGATTGGAAAACATGGTGGCCCTTTCTCACAGCTGTTAATGCAATCTATTCCTTTTATGAAGGTGAGGGTCGCTGTTACAGAAGGTCCAAAATCCAAATCATGATTGAAAAACTGCCCCCACTGCATAAACATGACTGAGCGGAAAGGATCATCCGTGAGGTTTACATTAGGAAAGAAGACAATGTCGTTGGATACAGCCCGGACCTGTTACCAAGAAATTGTTATCAAGAGTGGCAGAGACAGAAGGAAAGAAAAGAGGTTTATGAAAACCCACCTGGAACAATTACAAATTGCTACATGCTAATTTAGGAGAAAGAATGTAAAGGTTTATTTGCAAAAACTGCCAATGAAATAATTTAAGACAGTGGTTCTCAACAGACCCCTGGGGAGCCACAATGTCGTCATGGGGGGAGGGGGGATCTATGAAGGCTTGAAGAAATGTTATGATTTAAATCTTGAGTTAGGACTGGGGGGGGGGTTGTCGCCATGGTCCACAGCCACAAAAGATATTTAAAGGGGGTCAGTGGTGAAGAAAAGTTTGAGAACCACTGATCTAGGAGTCTCCTTCTTGATGAAACAAGAGAGAGGAATGATTTCAAGGTCTTCAGGCAGAAGAATTAAATACAGATGGTTGACACTCTGGAACTTCATTAAAAGCAGCTAACTAAAAGGACTAAATAAAAAAGATTTATCTAATTATCTATTATCTAATCTTATTTTATTTTATTATTATATCAAATATAATATTATATGTTAATTATTAATATTAGGTATTAGAATTTCAGGGGCCTTATATATGGGACCTGCAATAGAACATTCCAGTCTGAAATGCTTCTGCTCAGCATCCAGTCAAATAGACAAGTCTTTTTTCAGGGTGCTTGGTTCTTTCACTCCCTTTTGACAAAGCTTCAAACAGTCAATAAACGAATGGTTGTAAGTTGAGGAGTAACTATATTACAAAGACAGCACAGGTAGCATGCTGACCGAGTAGGAAGTGATCATAATACAGTCATCCAGACCGGTTTTTCAAAATATATACCAAGGCCATGCTATATAAACTACACTGTGTCTTCCTCTTAATTTGTCTAATCTTTGAAATATAACAGACCAAAGGCCTACGTTGTGGTTGTTCAGGGCTGGTCAGCAAGTTGGGAGCCCATTGTGCACCATAGTTATTTGCATATTTGATATATTTATGTTATATCTTCAAAGTTTATTTAAGTGAGTCAGGATTTGGCCACAATGAAGTCTCTGTCTTTTCATTTGCAAAACTACGGTATAAGATACGATTCTTTCCAGTTTCATGAAAATGCCACTCTATTCCTGTTTTCTTTTGCTACAACTAGTGTACAAAAGCACCAGATCATTTACAGGCCTTAAACTATACCTGGATCACTCCTGCTTTGACAGACAAATTTAGGACTCCTTAGTACATTTCTGGCTATGATCCTTCAATTACATCAATTATTCCATTTCTCTAATCCCCTTGCCTCAACTCTTGGTCTCTTTCCTCCCCTTTTAAATGTTTTTATCCCTTAAAACCCTGGATCCTTTCTGTTATGTACTGAGCTTGAACTGAGGAACAGGTGCAGGGAGCTGCACTGAAATCTTTAGCAGACCACTGGCCTGCTAACCCAGACAGGCTGTCTACAAGTTAGTTAGTATGCATTTAAGCGGGAAAATACNCCAAAATGTAAGATATCACCCTCTTCACTTAGCAGCCCTTAGCACTTAAAAACAACTAGACTAGGGTCTTGGCCACCAAAAGATTGTCCGTTTCTATTCGAGAATCATACAGGTTATTGCATTCGCCTGTAATGGTCCGGTAAGGGTTCTTCTCATCACATTCTTGTGTACTGATCTCTTGGGAAGCACATCCGCTTGCTTTGTAGATAGTTTGCATCTGGGAAGGGGAGAGCACATCTGTGGGAAAGCAAAGGGATTTAGACTTCAGGGCTGCAAAAATGACAGAAGAATGCAAGACTAGAGTCACTTGCCTTCTGAATTAAAAACCGAAAGCAGGCTTTATGTTTTGTAAGGATGAGAAAATTTAAAAGGTGAAAGTCTATGGAGATTCCCAGTCATCCAAGTCATGGTTGCCCAAAGGTGCTTTTTCCAAAAGTAACTGGACTTTGTTTTTCCTTGAAGACATTTTGCTTCTCATCCAAGAAGCTTCTTCACTTCTGAAGTGAAGAACTGAAGAACAGAATTGAAGAAACTTCTTGGATGAGAAGCAAAACATCTTCAAGAAAAAAACAATGTCCTTTTGAAAAATCACCCTTGGGTTAAAAGGTGGAACATTTTCCTTTTTCAGAGATGTTGGGTAGCTATTAAATATTATTCATAACAGCTCCAACCAATTGCTCTACAGTAATCAGTAACTTAATGGTTGCATTCCTAAAACATGCTAAGCTTGGTTAATTTTAACTGGTTCATTTTTGTCCATGTGTGAGGCTTAGCAGGTTATGTTTTAGGAGTCAAGGTATTATGCAAATTCAGAAAATGGGTTAAGTAGTAGCCAAGTTAAACATGTTGTTCAATAGCAGCTATCTTGAACTCTTCAAGTCAATCTGTTGCTCAATGTAGGATCTGCAAAGCAGAATACAAGTATAGCATCTCTGAAGCATGACTGCTTGGGTGGTTCTTAAATGACTTTAAGGTAGAAGAGCCCACCACTTCCCATCACACATCTATGGAGATTCTCTGCTTATTTTTTCTGCAGAATGGACATAGGGCAGAAAAATCCTGCAGAAAGCACAGCTCCACAACACAGTCCTTTCAACAGTTCCAAGAAGGCTCCACACCCATTTGCACTACTCAGGTGACCCTGAGGACACAGACAAACCCCCAAGTGGCCTCAACGGCTCTCTAAAAGGATGCAAATGGCCAGCTGTCTGCAAGGAATATAAATCCTTCCATTCTCAATCATCCAGTCAGAGCTGAAGAAGCTTCTTGGATGAGAAGCAAAACATCTTCAAAGAAAAACAAGAAAATCCAGTTGTCTCTTGAAAAAAAATATCTTTGTGACAACCATCAAATGATGTTCCATTGATTAGCAGCTCTTACAGGTTTTTGTGGAGCGGTTTTTTAAGCCCCCAATTTCTTTCTCTTTAATTTCCATTCATTGATCTGAGTTCTACCTTAGGAACAATTAAGAACACTCTACTCTAGCTTCTCCTATCAATTTGAAGATCTTCTCTTCTCTAAATTTAAAGATACATATCCCTTGGGTAATGTTAATAAATAAGAGTTAATTTCTAACTTCCCACCATCTTAGCTATTCTTCTCTGGATCATCTCCAGTTTCCCAATATTCTTCTCAACATGTAATGCTCTTATAGGCTTTGGTAAAGCACTATAAAAGTAATATAAATATAGGAATATCAGCATTAAGGTTTCTTTGTGCCGTACCTTGCAGAGATTTGTTTATTTTTGTTTATATTTCATATTTCTAAACTTCCCATCTCCTTTAAAGAAGGGCTCTAGGCAATGTTTTAATTTAGTCTTATGCATTATTATGCAATTGAATCTACATAACACATCATAAAACTATTGAAAATGCTAAAGAAAAAAAGAGTCTTCTTGATGTATAGGACGAGATTTGAGAAAAAAAGACAATCAAAAGCATTCTCTGAAAAGATTTCCCATGAAATTCTTATGAAGACAGATGCTTCCATATAAAATATTAGCTTAATACAAACAATCATTATTCATGTCATTTTTGGTTGCCCCACCCAATCATCAACTGACATCTAACATAAAATGATTAAATTCTTAGATTTAAAAAAATCTCTTTTGCTTCCTCTTTGAAGATGATTGGCCAAGAAATGTACATGTACTTTGCGGTCAAAATGAATAGATTGCAGGCAACTTTTAATGCATTTTTTTGCACATTTTTCCAAACCATACAGTTTTATCTACAATTTTGACAAATGCACATAATTTTTGCAAACAATTTCCCCTAATAAATCTGTAGTGCACCTCTATATATGTATATTTCCAGGAATGGATGTATTTTCCTACAGAGTTTTCCTTCATATAGGTTTGCTTTCCAGTAGGGAAACTGTATTACAAGAAGTAGAGAAGGACAAATGTTAAAGGACAACCTAGTTTCCATGAGATGCTAATGTGTGAGGCTGAATATTTATGAGCACCATTTGATATTTTAAAAGCTTATACTATAAACATTGGGGTTGGAGTTTTCAAAATGAAACACCCAGCATTAATTTTGATTTGTCTGTGATAAGCTAAGTCACTGCAGAAGTTATGCAAATAGCAAAAAGTGTAAATTAAGCATGGAAGAAAACCCAGCATTTTATTTTCCTTCCTTTTGGTTACTTTTTTTTTGTTACTTTCGGTTACTTTTTCCTGCCCACCTAGCAGATTGAAAGCACACAAATGCAAGTAGATTAATAGATACCATTTTGGTGGGAAAGTAACAGCATTCCGTGTGCCTTTGGCATATAGCCATACTGGCCACATGACCACAGAAAATGCCTTTGGACTATGCTGGCTCTCTCGGCCAAGAAACGAAGATGAGCACCGTGCCCTGGAGTTGGACACAACTGACAAGGAAAATTTTACCTTTACTTTTGGTTAGTGTATTAGTTCAAAAATGCAAAATACCTGTGATATTGAATTCCTGAGGAAATACATCCTGCAGCTTCTCTT